GCTTGGTGATGCCACAGCTGGGTGGATGACTCAACGTAGCTGAAGCGCTCCGGCTGGAGTGACCCAGCTTCGTTGCGCCTCCCACCCACCTGTCTCAACGCCACCCTGACTTTTGTGATCATTGCCAACGCGCGCTGACCTCTCAGGGCCACCCGACCGCGGCGCAACCCCTTCATGGGGCCATCGCTTTTCCCACAGAAGGGATCGAGATCAACAGGATGCTTCGACACTTGTTCGCTAAGCGAGACACCGACAGCAGCAACGTTCAACTCGGGTTTGACATGCTAAGGGGCCGGCCGCATCAGCTGTTTCGGCGTTTCACCCCGGCAATGTCGACGTCGGTACCAGGTCTGATTTTTTTTTTTCTCTCATTATTGGACTCTGTCGTCTGCCCCTCTGGTCCCCATCCTTCACTTCTACTATTAATAGCTACACAATCCAACCGGGGTCACATAGGAGGGGGGGGCTGGACCACCTCCTACGGTTCCTGCCTGAGATATTTTTATCGCGAGAAGGGTACAGCAACCCCTCCCCTACCAGGTCTGACTGTCGGTGCCGGTGTCCCCCTCGCACCCTGTGGCGTCGGATTCCATCACTCGCGCCATTGTAAAATCGGAAAGGTTAATGGCGACGACTGCTGACGAGAAGATGGCGGATGACGAACGTGACCTGCTCCCAATGGTGCGCGTGCTGATGGCATACAAGTTGGAGGAGACCGGGTCAGAGGGCACCATAGCCGCAGTGCCCGCTGTATGCAACGAGGGGGGGGCTGACCACGTCGCTGCAATCAAGAAGAGTATAGCCAGCGTAGAGACTAAGGTGTGCACAAATCGTGAGGTGAGTAATCAACGCCCTGACATCGACGGCGTTCGCACAACTGTTCCTCGCCCGCGCGTTGTCCGAGACGACTCTCGCCTAAGCGCAGTCCCGCGCTGTGAGTGAACTCGCGACGGCGACGCTTCGAGATGGGTGCGAATCGGCTTTTCGACCAACGTTTTGCAGTCGGAACCGGTTAAACCTGCCACTATCTCAGGTCCGTTTTGCATGGTCTTCACACTGCTCGACATATCACCCAGACAGCAAGGAGTGGGGTTGTTGACGTGGATCATTTGGGGTACGGCGAGTTGCATCGCAAGTCGAGAGCTTCAGCCCCGTGAAGATGGCAGCACATACATGCAATCACATCCGGTGGTGCCGAAGTGTCGACACGGGACGGTGGCGCGTGGCAGACTTTCACTTCACAATGTTTTCCCGACAATTATCCGGGCTCGTTCTCATACTCTGTCCGTCGCCTTCTTCCTTCCCGGTGGTCCCTTTCCGTTACGACGTGTAGCTGACGATTAATAGCGACCTGTGCGGACTCAGTGTTTCACGATGGATTGGGTTATCACTGTGGCGAACAAGGTCGGAGCAGGGCTGACTGCTTCAGCGCCCCCTTTCCCAGCGGGGCAGCATACGATGGCAGCGGGGCAGGTCCGATTCGGTTTGGCGACTCTCGCCTAAACTGCTCGCACGCACATCGTAAGCGTTGACGCCCCCTGGCTTCATGCTCGTCGACCAACGTCCCGTTTCCCCCGTCCTTTGTCTTCCCCCCGGCAACGGCGGTGCCACACATCACCATGACAACCCGGTTCGACAGCAGTACGGCCTCCGCGTTCCTCGACCACGGAAACTCGTAGGTTCTCGAGCAGTGCCGGGTGCAGTACGGTTCGGTCGACCTTCCATTGAACATGGCAACGACAGACAACTCTGACGGCGTGAAACCCGACAGGAAATCTCGCTATACCCATCTCCCCGACTCTCCCGTCATGAGTTCCCTGATTTGAGACTGTGCTTCAGTGAGAGCGCCCTCGGACATCGCGCGGGCGAGGAACAGCTCACCGAACGTCGTGGGCGTTGCCGCGTTGAAAGCCCACTTCAGACTGGCGCAGACCTTGGCCTCAAGCTTGGCAACGCGCTTGTCGTTGCAGTGTGGTCGGGCTCCCACACGTTTTACACAGCGAGAGTGACGCTGTGGGAGCCCGACGACGCCGCTGCAATCAAGAAGCGTATCGCCAAGGTTGAGACCAGGGTGTGCGCCTGTCTTCAGTGGGCGCTCACCGCGGCAACGCCCAGGACGTCCGGGCACCTGTTCTTCTCGCTCTAGAGGTGCCCCAAGGGGTTCCCGCCCAAGTACAATCCCACGCTGCCAGGGAGCTCACGACGGCAACGTCGCTGAGATGGGGTGCAGCGAGGGTTCCTGTCGGACTTCAAGCCGTCGAAACTGGCTGCCGCTGCTATCTTCCAAGCAGTGTTCCTTTAAATCAACAACGCCACTTCGTCTTGGCAATACACGTTTGTTGCCACGCAGCTCAAAAGTTGTGCTGCATGGCGACATTGCTAGGAAGGAACGGGATGTCCGACACGGTCATCGCAACACGAGAGACTAAACGTTACGGCAACGAAAAATTACGTGATGTTGATCAACCATCAAGATGGAGCCGCGTTTTCGTGTTGGAGGTTGATTGAAGCATGTGTAGTGTAGCACGGGACCTATTGCATACCGATTGTGTACTTGCAGCACGTGGTGAACTACGTCCGCTGATTTTGACGATCCCTTCTCTACCCTTTCTCGGAGCAGCCCTTTACGGTTAATGAAACTGCGTCAGAGGCCGTGGAAAACTTTCCGAAATCTTGCGCGAGCAATTCACTCCATCACACGCATCGCAGTACCACCCGTATGCTGAGCTATATCAAATGGCGAGTATGCAGTGGACGACGCCTCTTACATGATGGACTCCCCCGTCTTGTGTTCCACCTTGTCTTCTTGTCACTTGTTCTTTACTTCGAGAATAAGAGCCGACAACCTGTTGCGACATGCAACTTCGCTCTCCCCGACAAACGAAAGCCTGATTCAGCAGCAGCTTCTGTTCCACATACGGTATGCGGGGTCACAACTATTCGTTCGTGTGTACTGAGCATGTGAGAGAAACAGGCAATAGTCTTTGATGTGCTGGTGCAAGGTTGTCGCACAATATTCGTACTTCATTAGACAGGCAGAGTTTCTCGGCGTCTTGCAATGGTCACTCACCGGGTCTATCGTCACGTGAATAATCTGGACGTTTTGGGCGGCGATCGTCGGCGTAAACATTTCCAAGCTTAGGATGACAAGAGTGACGGAGTCCGCGGCCAACATGCATGATGAGGGGAGTTCTGTAAGATAAAGTTACACCATTAGACTAGTCAGCGCTGACTACTCTAATGGTGTAACTTTATCTTATAAGTTCAGCACCGGCAAAGGCATTCGGACCCGTAGCGATGTTGATGATTGCGGAGGTGCATTCATTGAAGAGCTGCTGCAGGCGACCCACCAGCATGTGAAACCCCAGTTGAACGTTGTCGTTGTCGTTCTCTTGCTTAATGATCAGGTGTTGGAGGATGCAGACTGTCTCTTCTGCGCAAAGAGCGATGCCCCCCTTGACGGGTACCGCCGCGGCCGGGCGGCCCTGAGAGGATCGGCACGCGTTGATGATGCTCATGAGGTATAGGTTGTTGGTGAGCTAGCTGGGTGCGCAGCTCACCGTAGCCTGTGCTCTACCTTCGTTTACCCTCACAGCAACCCTCTTCAGCACTACCCTGATTTTCGTGATTATCCGACACCACGCGCTGATCTCTCAGGGCCGCCCGATCGCGGCGGAACCCCTTCAGGCCATCGCTCTCTCCACAGAAGCGTCTGACAACATGCTCCAAGCACCTCTCCACTAAGCAAGACGTCGACTACGGCAACGCCCGCCTAGGCTGCTACATGCTGAGGGGACACCAGCACTAGCTTTTCCAGAGTGTCACCTCCACAAAGATCACCACGCTTTCCGGTCTGACTGCCGATTCCGGTCTTGCGTTCCCCCCGTTCCCTATGGCCGTGGACACCCTCACTCCTGCCATCGTACACTCGGGAAAAGCAATTGAAGATGGTCACCCATGAAGAGATCACAGGTGACGATTGCCTGGCCTTGGCGTACAAGCTCGAGGAGATCAGTCGGGAGAGCACCCTCGCTACAGTCCTCGCGGTCTGCACCTTGTGGGGGTCCGACCACGTCGCTGCGACGAAGAAGCATATGGCCAAGGTGAAGACCAAGGTGTGCGCACATCTTGAGAGGACCCTCGACGCGGCAACGCGCACGTCGCTAGCGCACCCGTTCCTCGCCCGCCCAGTCTCCGAATGGGCTCTCGCCCAGGTGCGCCAACGTGGTGGGCGTTACGGCGTTGAGCGCCCACTTCAGGCTGGCGCACACCTTGGCCTTCACTTTGGCCATGTACTTGTTTGTTGCAGCGACGTGGTCGGGCTCCCACACGTTGCACACAGCGAGCAATTCGGCGAGGGTGCTCTCCGGCCCATTATCCTCCAACTTGTGGGCCATCAGCTGGCATACCAGGGGGAGCAGATCGCGGTCGTCATCCGCGATTCCCTCATCGGCAGTGGTCGCCGTAAACCTTGCTAACTTGACGATGGTGAGAGCTATGGCGTCCGCGGCCAAAGGGTGCGAGGGGACTTAGACACCGGCACCAGCAGTTTGACCGGTGGCAATGCCGATTGCGGACGATGTGAAGAGACTGAACAGCTGGGGTTGGCGACTCTCAGCATGTGGAAGCCCACGCGAATGTTGTCGTGGTCGTTTTCTTGCTTGGTGAACAGGTGCTAGAGCACGTTGTCGATCTCGGTCTCTTCTGTGCACAGAGCGATGGCTCCTTGAAGGGGTTCCGCCACGGCCGGGCGGCCCTGAGAGGTCAGCGGATGTTGACAGTGTTTCACGGAGAACAGCTTGGTGATGCCACAGCTGGGTGGATGACTCAACGTAGCTGAAGCGCTCCGGCTGGAGTGACCCAGCT